ACGTCGGCCGTGAACGCTGCCACGCTCTCCATGTCGATCTCTTTCTTGAGAATCGGGATGCTAATACCGTCCGTTGCACCACCTTCAACAGAATCGCATCGGAGCACGTACTCGATCGCGAGGTCGTCGATCGTTCGCAAAAAGGCCGCGAGGCGCACGTAGATCTGATTGCGCACCCGCGTATGGGCGATGTGCTGGTGTGCAGCGTAGCGCTCAATGGCCTCGGCCACCGTGTAGCTGATGTAAAACTACGCAGCATGCACGAGGAGGCGTCGTGCGATGATGCAGTACCTGGGTATTGAGGAGCGCGTCGAGGCTCGCGGCGTTCACGGCGTCTTCGGTGCCTACGCAAACAGTGCAGAAGCGCTTGTATGGGCGCACGCCACGTACGCTGCATCGTGGTCAAATGCCGAATGAGAGAAACCAAAGAGCCTGGCCGGTCGTGCCTACACTGTAGCCAGGCCGAGTAGCCACACGCACGGCTCAGAGAGCTGGCGCCAAGGCCACGAGGTCGATGCAGCAGAGCATCCTCCGTCGTCGAGATTGTCTGCGTCGATTACCTCTGCCCGGCATCGATTGCCTGCGTCGACCTCACTCGGTCGCCATCCACAGCATATCTTGCTCGATGGCCGCGCGGCGCCGTGGCGCCACCGTCTGCCTTCTGTTTTTCATGACGTCGCTGATTGGTGGGATTTCGCCTTCGATATTTTCGGTCGGCAAAAGGTCGCTAGAGCGCGGGAAGGGATAGGGTTCTGGTACGTGGAGCTACGCGTCGCCAACGCGCGCACCCGTCGCCGACAGCGCAGGCGTAGTTCTCCATATTAATAGTACGAGGAATTCCCTTCGCTCGCCTCGGAAAGGAGCGCGGGCAAGCGATACCGATGGCGTCAACGTATCTCTCTTCTTGTTCAAGAAAACACGAGCGTTGGGATATATATATGTACTTTAGATCCTTGCAACAAAGCGACCTGCGAATGGAAGACGACGACGCACCCGTCGAGTCTGCGTCCTTGGACCGCTGGAGCTCTGCTTGCCCTCGCCCTTCAACCCCAAGAACAAGAGAACGACGACGCACCGCGGGTGGTAATGCAGCGACCCCCACTACCGAGTATCCATCCTGCCGTCGGAACGGGGTCGGGTAGACTCGCGGGCATCAACCGCCCTCGTTGGCTCCATTGATATCGACTGCAAGAAGACGGACTGTCGCTTCCGCTGCGGGAATCGACTTCGGAAAAGATCGCGCGCCAAATCCCACCAATCCGCGACAAGAACGAAACACCGAGGCGCCCAGGAGAGTGCCACGTGTCCAAACCGGTCAGCGCCATCGGACCGCGAGCAACGACGATGGACAGAGCCGGCAATCTCCATGGAGGACGACACGCTCCTCTACGTCATGGAGGCCGCAGCATCGCCCTCGCCGTCGTTCCTCCAAACCTTGCAGCCGGCCACACAGTCCAGTGGAGCCACGCCCGTTCGCGCTCTCTCGCTCCTTCCACTCATTCAACTCTGACCGCGACGCAGCGTCGACGCGACAAGGGCTCAAGTAGGACTACTCGATCCAACCGACGACTAATGGCACTAGGTACAGTACGCGCCGCCAAGAGCACACCGCGCGGCTTGCAATGATGTCAACAACTCGTGTGGCTGCCAGATATGTATGTGCACCTTCAAGTCCATCCATACACCTCCCTACGTAGTACTTGACAGCGGCGGTCGCCTCAGCACACACACAAGACACACGTGGCAAAAGGTTCCTTCCTTCTTCTTGGCGTTGACACCACCGTTGCTGCAGGGTCATCTTGCGCTACTTCCACGTCCACTGATCCACCGTCGCGATGCGGACGCGGGGCGGCTCGCGCGTGATCGCTGCGGTCGTCTGCTGCTGCGCCACCAGCGCCTGCATGCGTGCGAACGCGCAGACAGGGCACGGCGCTTCCACCATGCCGGGCTTGCGGTACTCGTCCAAGAGCACACGCGTCGTGTGTCGGAGCGCCGGCAAGCTCGCCATGCGCTTCTCAAAGACCAAGAGGACGTCGTCGTCGTAGACGCGCTTGGGGTACGCGTGGCCGCACGTAAAGACCTTGGCGTGCGTCTCGATCGGGTCGTCGAGGCCCAGATTCGCTTGACGACCCAGCTGCAAGAGCGGGATCTCGTCGCTGTTGCGCTCAATGTTGGCCAGCAGCATGTCGGTCGTCGACGCAAGCGACGCCACGTCATAGGTGGGCAGCTGCTGCGCGCACAGCTGGAACACATACGCGCCGGTAAACGGCAGCTTCTGGCACTCGGTGACCCACTGCACGTCCCGCTCGGCAAAGTCGGAGGCGACGTCGGACGAAAAGAGCAGCCGCGCCACGAGGCCTCCGACGTGCCCTATCGATAGCACTCCGTTCTTATCCTAAGAAGCAGAGATAAAGAAATCTACCGTCGTGGTCGGGGTGCTGCAAGAACGCTTCCAGCTCCGACGTGGTGTGCCCGGAAGCGAACCACTGCACGAGGATGCGCGAGAGAAGCGAGAGTTTCGTGTGCAGCGGCAGCTCGGGCGTTGGCGCCGGCACCACCAGCGTCATCAAAAGATGCGTGAGCTCGTCGGCGCTCGAGGCCGAGAGCGTCGTCTTCCTAACCATTGGGATGAGGCCGACGACACTTGGAACAATCTCCTACTGCTGGAGGTCGTGCTGCTGCAATTTGCACTCGATCGCATCGACCCACTCGCCGTGGGCTTCGTACAAGACGGCGGCGGCCGCCCAGTTGGCATAGTCGACGCAGCGCAGCACGAGGTACGGCGGGCGGTACTGCGGCGCCCACGCCCGCAGCAACCGCTCCAGCTCGATTTGCGAGAACGCGTCCGTCGGCAAGCGCGGCGACTTGTCGTTGAGCTGGTCGGCGTTCAGGCGCAAAAGCACCGTCAAAAGAGCTCGATCGTCTCTTCTTTCGAGGCCAGCATGCGCTCGGACGACGCCACGTCACTGACCCACTCGCGGTACGTCGTTCCATCGATCGGTGGCGTCGGTGCGGCTTTGGTCGCGACCGTGCGCGGGTCCAGCACCGTCGCCATCGCCACCACGCTCGCCTCGTCGAGGCTCGGAAGCGTCCGAAGCAGCCAATCGCGCTGCGCCACCAAGCTGCTCGGCGCTTGGCACATGACGTGGATCTGCGTCTGCAGCGGCAGCCGGCGAAACACACCGCGCACGGCGCAGTGCACGAGCGCAGCGGCGTGGCCCTTCTCCAAGAGCATGGCCACCTACCGCACGCAGCGAAATGAGACGCGCCGAGGCAACAAGCCTCGTACATGATCGCCCGAGAGCTCCAACCCGGCCGACTGGAGCGCGAGAAGCCCGGCGAGGATCGCGTGGCGTGCTATCGCGACATGGAGCACAGCGTCGACGGCATCGTGGGCTGCGCACGCCGCCAGCGCCACGTCGGTCTCAAAGTCGGCGTTGGATCCGAGGAACGCGAGCAGCCATGGCCACGTCACGCTGCTTGTCGACGTCGGCAGCTAGGTTGCGACGAATGAGACAGCCCGTTGTCGGAAGGATAGAGAATGCGGTGGCCTACTTGGTCGGCGAGGAGTCGGAGGGCAGAGTGCACGAGCACGTTGCTGAGGACTCTGCGCTCGACATGCGACGTCGCATCGCCCTACTTGGTCATGAGGACAGGCGCATATTCAGAGGTTTTATGGAGGCGGACCGGTCGCAAGAGAACGTCGCGCGTGTACTCGATCGCGTTGACGAGACCGCCGTGGAGCACGAGCTTCTCGACGGCTTTGGACGGCAAGACGCGCGAGTAGGCGTAGAGACGCATGATCCACTCGCAGCTGTTGCGCGAGATCGCCTTGCTCGGCTCGCGGGCGCAGATGGTGTCGGCGACCACCTCACTACTCAAACGATGAGAGCTCCATGTGGTGTCGTCTACAGACCAGAGCGACGCCATGTCGATGCCGATCGAGTAGCCAATGGACACGGCATCCTGGACGTGAATCGAGCGCTCCAGAAGCGCTTCAAAGAGCGAGAGACGGGACCACTTGGGCCGGCACTCGTAGACCTACGCGGTATCGTCATATTCCACTATCGCACAAGGATATATGCAAAAGTAGAGAATACTTGGTGGTCCGTGTGTACAAAGAAGAGGAGGTCGTCGCCGCCGAGGCTTTTCCCAGGCACGACCCGCCGTACCGACTCGTCTTGACGCAGCTTGAGCGTGTGCACGACCCGTGCCGCCTGCGCATTGCTACTTCCTATAGAAGATACCGTCGCATTATTGTCCATATACAAGGAGGACAGGGTGTCCATATATAAAAGATGGACACACTGTACCGTCGTCGCGCGAAGGCCGGGAGATCCATACGGCGAGCGCTTGTGCATCGTGCGTGCTGCCTTGGACGAGCAGCAGTTGCGACGAGCAGTAGACGAGCTGCGGGTCCGAGACATCGAGCGTCGGCAGCAAGTAGCTGGACTCGAGGCGCCAGTTCAAGTCTGCAAATGTCGTGATCGTCTGCGCCTTGGAGTCCAACGCCACGAGCCCCGACGACCGCGCGAAGAGGTCTCGGACAACATGCAACGACGCGTCAGGAAACTGCTTAATGCGCTGCGGGCGAAAGGCCTTGTCGTCGAGAAAGTGTTCTGGGAACGTCAAGACGGCGCCGTCGCTCGACCGGCGCTCCAAGAGCACCTTGTAGTAGTGCACAACCTTGTGCTTGCGCGTGGCGACGAGGAGGGACGTGGCGTTGGCATCGTCGTGGACCAGGTCCATCGAGAGAATTTTGCCTACCGCACGAGAATCCAAAACTTGATACCTTGATACAAGAAACAGGCCAACCCGAGAGCTCGCAGCGGCACGTCTCTTGGTTGGTTTCCACGTGGACGATCGAGATGAGGTCGCTACTCGACCCGACAAGCACGTAGTTGTGGCCGTTGAACGACCGCCACCACACAACGCACGTGGGCGTCGTCATGCCGGTCGAAAATTCGAGCGTGCTCAAGTCCTCGGCGTCGCCCGCGACCGTCGACTTGTACTTGGCGCCGTTGTGGCCATGCGCGCGGAGGTACGACATCATCTATGCCAAGATGCAGCACATGCATCGGAGGAGGAAGGTACCTGCGTCGCCATGGGGCTCGGCGCGACGCTCATGAGATCGCCGGGGGCCACGTCCTTGAGATGCATCTGGTCACAAGAAGGAGAGATGAGGAGGAGCATGCAATGCAGAGCGTACCTGAAGCGTGAGCTTGCGCTCGCGGGCGACGAGCGCGGCGACGGGAAGGAGGAGGAGGAACATCTTGTGGCCCCACGCGACGACGACAACGAGCCAGTCGCCTTCGGGCGAGAACTCGAGCGCGACGACCTGCTGCCCATTCGTCGCGTAGCTCGCGGCCGACTGCGTTGACGACGCCGAGAGGGGTGGTAGCGACGAAGACGACGCGAAGGGCATCTCATCGCCAAACGAGAGCGGGTTGAGGACGGGGAGGCTAATGCCAAAGGACGACGACGAGCTCGGCGGGCCTTGGAGCGTCGGCGCCGCCGTCGAGAAGAAGGGCGACGCTTGTGCGATGCGGTCGAGCGCGAGGTTCCATGGCACGCGCCAAAAGCGCGGGTGCAGATCCTCCTCGAGCGACCGCAGGAGCAGCGTCTTGTCCGCGCAGTAGAAGGCCTGGAATTGCTTCTTCTCCGCGCAGCGCGACGCAAAGCTTAAGATGACGTTGGTCTCGTCCGAGTTGTCGAGCGGCAGCTCAATCACCTGCAGGAGCCGGCGCGTGTGGAAGACGCTCAGCGCCGGGCGACCGTCGCCCTCGGCTGCGGACGAGGCTGCCATCGTCTTCAAGCCGATCTGGTACTATTTTACATATTTTAATCCATCTCGATATTTGTATGGACGAGCATGATTTTGATTTGCATAGATTCGACTGCGTATCCTCATGGCGATGACATGGACCGAGTTCCGCGCCGGCGCCGACGCGCTCCTTGGCCTCCAGCAGCGCCTTCACGCCGACGGCCATGACCGTCTTAGCTGCTGGAATTGGCGATGGGAGAACGCTCCGGCAGGCCATGCGCTGCACGTATTACGTCACAATCTCGTCGATGACGGCTCATGGCCATGTAGCGTATCTTGCCGGGCTGGGGCTTCCTCGTCTCGGCCAACAACGTTCGCCACTGTTCGGCGCCTGCGCATGCTGCCGACGCATGCGACAGCGCCAGCGACGACGACGACGTCGTCGCCCTTGCGCCGCAACCGACCGACATTGTCCTGGTCGACTACCACGTCGTCTATAGCCCCACGTACGCGGCGCCGACGCTCTACCTGCGCGCGACGACGCCAGGTACAACGAGCCTCGTACGCATCCATCCCTCACGCTATATGGTTGATGCAGATGGGCGGCCCGTTCCGACGTCAACCGTGCGCGCGCAGGTGCACGCGGCAGCAAATCGCTGCGCGTCGATCGTCGACGTGGACCATTTCATCAGCCAAGACGAGCACCCAGTGCGCAGCACGCCGTGCTACATGCTACATCCGTGCGAGACGGCGAGCTGCCTCCGGCTCCTCCTCGCTGACCGGCCGACAGCATCGCCTCTCGAGACGCTCCTCGCTTGGCTCTCGCTCGTCCAGCCCGTGACGCAGATCGAGCATATCAAACACAGCTACGACTAATATACTACGATGATTCAAGGTCTACCCTGACGCGACGAAGAGCGCGTCCGAGCGTGTAAAGCACACGTCGCGCGGAAGCGTGTACCTGCACATTGGACACTCGTCGTTCGTGCTGAGCCACGGCGTGATGCACTTGGTGTGAAATGTGTGGTGGCACGGCAGCGAGGTCACGCCGTCGAGGCCGCGGTAGTCGTCGAGGCAGATCGAGCACGCGCGGTGGGCCACTTCCTTGTGCACATCCTTCCACTTCCTCGACGGCAAGAGGTCGACAAACATGGGGCACGTCGGGCGCTTCTCCATACCGGCGGCCAAATCGAGCATGTCGTGTGTGTCGGTCACGATCGCGCAGGCGACGCACGACTTGCCCGCGCGCATGGCGCAGTCGCGCAGTAGGACACGGGTCGTGCACTTGCCGCACACAATGTCGCCGCAGACGCGGCAGTGGTGGCGCCGCCGGAGGAGCGCGAACGTCTTGCCGCAGCAGCTGCAGTGGGAGCGCGCACTGTCCGGGACCCACCGGTCGCGCGGGCACGCGCTGCGTGTCTGCGCCGCCGCCGTACCCAATCGGCCAAGAGGAGTGGCCGCCATCGTCCGATCGATTCGCTTCTGACGGCAAGCGGATCGGGATGGGACAACGTCGGTCTGTTGGGTGCGCCGGTCGATTTTTATATTTCCCACGTCGGCGTACCGTACAGAGAAGAGCCAGTACTACCCCGTGCGACGCAGGTGCCAGCGCCGCGCCAGAGAAACGACGCCGCGTGGGGTGCCCGCAGGGCACTTACCGTCAAGCGACCACGTCGCTGCATGCTAAACCGCTGCGCAACCAGCCGCTGGCCACGGCAGTAACTCTACAGATCGACCGACCCAGTCACGACCAAGTGGCGACGTGCGCGCGTCGACGCCAAGGTGGTCGACACCATGGCGACATTCACCATACGGCTGCATTGGACGCAACATGGCGCAGGGTGATTATCGTACCGGTAGACACGCGACGTCATGTCAAGGCCTGCAGCTCCTACGAGGCCAGCAAGGGTGACTGTAGCTGCGAGAGCTGCACACGAGGCCACGCACAAGAGACGACGATACGATTAGAAGGGTAGCACACTACAGTGGATGCGGCGACGAGAGCCGCGACGATGACGCCTCGGACGCACGGGCGAGGTCGAGAAGCACGTCGGCGACGCCTTCGGCGGTCGGCCGCGCGGTGACGTCGTCGACCGTGCACATGGCAATGACCGCGGCAACGCCGGCGTGCGAGACCATGTCGAACGGAGACACGCGCACACAGTCGCGCGCTGCGGCGAGCAGCACCATATCGCAGTGCACATACCCGTGCGCGGCCAGGAGCGCAGCGTACGGCCGCGTCCGCGTCCAAATCTCGCCGAGGAGCATGCCAAGTGCATAGACGTCGGCAGATACCGTCGCTGGCTCGCCACGCAGCACCTCGGGGGCCATGTAGGCCATGTGGTCGGATCCGAACGAGACAATAGCATTGTGGTGGTGCGTGCGGAGCAGGTGCAGCGTGTCCAGGAGGCACGTGAACGCTTTGTCGACGAGCACGCGGTGGGGCGTGAGCCCGTCAAAGCACACGCTCTGCGCGTGCAGCGCGGCCAGACCGGATGCAATGCCATGGGCCATTTCGAGCGGCGCTGGCACAGGCGGCCCATGGTGCAGAGCATGCGCTAAACTGCCGCGCTCGGCAAACGGGACGGCGACAGCAAACTCGGTGCGGTAGTTGATGACCGACACTCCGAGAAGCGCCACGAGGTGGCGGTGGGGCGGAAGATCTCGCAGCATGTGCACGCGCTGGATAAAGGCAGCTTTCTCGGACGCCGTGACCTTGATTGGGAAGAGCGCGAGCTTGGCGCCGTCGCTGTAGCAGAGCCGCATGGACCGACTCGTGGCCAATTTGGACGTCTTTTCCTTTTCGAGCGGCAGCGTAAAGTCCGGGAACGCGTCGCGAAAGACTTGGCACGGGTCGGGAAGCGATGCGACGAGCGAGACGACGCGCTGGTGCGGCGATCGCACCTCGAGGTACGCCTCGATGGGCGATGACGGGTTCGACGAGCACGCGTGAGCTTTGAGCGTCCTGTGCTGCCGCCGGTAGTACAGGGCGAGACTCACGAGAAGACAAAGACACACGAGAGCTCCGAGGACGACACCAACGATGGCGCTTGTCGAGAGGGCCGAGGCGACGGCGGCCGACGGCAGCGACGATGCGCTTCCGCTTGTCGGCAAGGCAATCGTCGGGGATGTTGGGGTCGTCGGTGTCGTGGGGCACACGAGGGTCGTGTTGACACAGAGGCATCGGGGTGTTGTTGTACTCGGCTCGAACGACGCGCGTTGAAGTGCCCGGCAGTCGTCGACTGAGTCGGTCGTGCTACGCAGATATTTGTGAACATACGCAGTCAATCAGGAGGGTGCAAGGATGACTACATGTTGAGAGCGTACGCCCGCGCGACGTCAAGGGCGGCGAAGTGAGCGTTGGACGATGTCATGGTGCTAGTAGCCAACGGTTCAATCGACGCTGGTTAAGGGCGAATGCTGCAACACGTACATGACGAGACGGGGCGGCGACAAGGACGTCGGTAATACGATCGGGGAAGCATCGCATCGAACGGTTACGAGGGTGCTACGTGCAGACGCATGAGATACGTGGCGATATCGAGTCGGGTCCATACAGGGTCGAGAGGTTGGTATAGCGCGAGAGGTCCAGCGCTGGCAAGGTCGAGTCTGCGATCTGCCTGGATCACGATCGGTGGTGTGTTCGAGAAGGGTCGCTGCACGTACATGCTACTGATCGCGCCATTGTTTGTGAACGGTCCAAGGAGTGCAGCGCTGGAGACGTTGGCAAACTCGCTACATGGCCATGAGTCCGGACAAGTCGTCGCGATCGCGCCAAGTACGCATGGTGGAGGCGCGGGAAGAGCGTCGTTGGTAGCGTAAACGGCGAGATGGCATCGATGGTGGCGAGAAAGGTCCTACCATGCATCTTCAGCGACTTGGCACGTCGATCTCGGAGCGTACATGCGCAGGGACAGGACGGGCCGCAGGAGCTGCTCGAGCTGCTGCAGGGAATAGCCGGGTTCCGACCCATGCACCGCGTAGAAGAAGCCGCCTTCCATCGTCATGTACCATGCGAGGTCCGGGGTCATGGCGCCGAGGTCCTCGGACGTCGCCCAGAGACGGACGGCCATCGCGGGCGCTCGGTCGATCGCGGAAATGGAGAAATCATCCGCTTCCGGCAACGTTTCACGCACATCCGGATAATGTACCAGCGTATCCGTATGACGCCAGGAAGTGTCCCATCCTCCAAGCATCTCCGTCGCATGACGGCCTGCAGCACGTTGCGGCCGGCGCCCGAGGATGGGCAAGCGGCTCATCCAGGTGCACCCGCCTGCGGGGCTAAGTGGCAAGCGCCAAGTGGCAACACGCATGGCGGGCGTCTGCAGTGGTCCCGGCGAGGCGACGCCGGCTGCAACACGGGCGCACGGAAGCGAGGACGCCAAAGATACCGGCGACGCATGGATCCTTGATCGCGGGTATTACACCCGCGTACGTGTCGCGACGACGACGGTATCCAAACGGATGGACGAGGGTTCCCACGCTGGCGCCCACCCGCTCCACGCCCATGACGCAGCGCCGTGCCACTCTCCGGCGCGGTGTGCGTGTGATATCAGTCGACTGCCAGCCGAACGATTGGATGCGCCAGCGTGTTGGACCCGATGTTCGATAACGACGCGGCCACAGTGGTCGTCCCACGGTGCAGGTCGCCTTCCACGCTGTCTGATTCTAGTCGCGCCGAAACACGCAGACCGCGATGGCGCAGCGCCAGAGCCAAGCGACCTAGAGCATCATGGTCCTACAGGTGCGCCAACGGCACAGGGCATGCACACTTTGCGAGCAGGTTGCATTGGGTACAACCATACATAGGGCCATGTCAATTTTATATCCAAGACGGTGGGTTCTTAGAGCCGCAGCCGCACGACCACGTCATCGATGGTCGGGCGCTGGCCCGGGTTCGGGTGCAAACACGCCTTGACGAGCGCCACAAAGGTCGCCGACGTCGCGGCCACGAGCGCCTTTTCAGGGAACGGGAACGGCGGCCGGCGGCCCTTCTGGAGTTGACGCACGAGCTCGAGGTCGGCACCGACGAGCCCGAGATCGTGCTGCTGCGCAGCGTACGGCCGGACGCGCAAGAAGACTTGGCCGAGAAGCATGCCGAGGGCGTAGACGTCGCTGGCAGGCGACGGTCCGCTCTGGTCCAGAAGGAGCTCGGGCGCGGATGCTGCGAGCGCAAAGGCGCCAAACGGGGCATGGGCATGTGCGTGGAGCGGAGTCAGCAACGCAAAAATGTTGAGCGACGCGTTCCAGTGCTCGTCGAGGAGCACCTTGTGGCTCGAGACGCGGCCGTAGACGCAGCCCTTCGCGTGGAGGTACTGCAGTCCGAGGGCGACGTGGCGACTGATCGAGAGCAACGCCGCCGAGTCGAGCTCCACTTTGACATCGTGGAGGACGGAGCTCAGCGCGCCATTTTCGCAGTACGGCGTGACGAGGACAAGCGCCGCGTCGTAGTTGACGACCGAGACTCCGAGGATGCGGCCAAGCCGGTCGTGCTGCAGCGACGCGATGCGCTGGAAGCCCGCGAGAAACATCGTCTGCACCACGGTCGTGAGGTCGAGGGACTTGAGCGCGAGCTTGGCTCCGGTCGCGTCTCGGCACCAGAGCATGTCGTGGCTGCCGCGCATTGCAGTCGTCTTGGTGTTCACGAGGTCGGCGCGCCAGTGCGCCTTGAGCGCTGGGTGGTCGATGAGCGTGCTGCACGGCGCCACGATCGTTTCGTGGCTACCACCAGCGAGGAGCGTACGATCGTGGACTTCGTGGTACGCGTTGGCATCGTCCTTTGGCGATGCGCGACGGCGGCGCCGCACAAAGAGGATGGCCACGACGATTAGAAGCGCAAGCGCTGAGAAACCAACCGCCAGCCCGACGGTCGAGCCATGGCCCGACGACGGTGGAAACGTCGTTGGCTCGACCGACGGGATCCGTGTTGTCTTCTCGGTCGCATTCGTCGGTGGCGTCCGCGAGGCATTGCACGTCGGCAGTTCCGAGAGGGTGTAGCTCGTACACTCGGATCTTTCGGCGCTGGCGTCGATGCTGGCACACTTTTCGAGATCGTTTTCTCGGATCTTGATCTTGACCTGTTGCAGCTTCTCGAACGCGCACAGCTCCAGCGTGGTGCTGGTATCCTGGACGGTGATGCTCCTACGGCAACGACGGTCGAGTGCGAGACGGCGCAACGCAGCGTACAGGTTTGTCAATTTGAGCATCTCTGGGAGCCGGCGGCGGGTGAACGTCGTCTCGGGCCAGTAGTTTCTGCACGAGATGCAGATGAGTAGACTATCGGGATATGTGGTCTTACACGACGAGCGTCGATACGCTCCGCAAGATGTCTTGGAACGGCGGTTGACGGGCCGGTTCTGCCGTGCAGTTGGTCGAGCGGAGGTTCCCCTCGTGCTCCAGGAGTCGTAGCACTTTGCCGTCCGCGCTGGTCAACCACGTGGCTTTCGACTGCGCGTCGCACGTCCATCGCGTCTCGGTCATGGCGGCGGTCGACTTCACGTTGGCAAATACTTCATTTTCGACCGACCCCACCCACACAAGACTGGCCAATCCGAGCGCGTGGCCTATAAGAAATCCAAGATCTGACACACAGGAGGCTGCCACGTCATACAACCCCATGCACAAGTGCTTCCTTGCCAGCACAATCACTTGCACAACTCGGTCGAAGCGCTTCATAAAGTGCAAGAAGGGCGACAACATGGTAGGTAGTTGGTTCGTTCGTCCCATCAACGAAGAAAGCGTCTTGGATACTCGCAACCTCGAGCGCTCCTGCAAGCCAGATAGGATAGGAACTAGCCACCGCCGACGTTGTGAAGCCAACAAGCGTGCCTTGCGGTCGCAGTGCCAGGGCAGGAGCCCCAGCGAGCCGAGACATGCGAGCCAAAATGCACGTTGAAACGGATCGTGACTTTGACACCGTGGCACTCGTGCAGTATGTACTATCTGCCTCCGTCCGAGCCCCTTCAAGAGAAGCTGTGCGCCAAATTTGTTGCCCGCGATGGGCAACCCAGCTGTTCCTGCGATCCTTGTTACCGTACAATCACGCTACACTACGGTACGCAGGGTGGAGATACTCAAATGTAGGAATCGGCAGTCGAATGTGGCAGCTCGATAGTTCGGTCGGTTAGATGACGTAGCGGTCTTCGTAGACGATCTGCAGCACAGCGACAACCTCGTCCATCGATGGCCGGTCGCACGCATGCAACGCCCAGCAGCGCAGCAAGAGCGCTTGCAACTCGGCCGGGTACCCACTGAGTTGCGTCGCCACGTCGTACGGTGCCACCGTGCCATCCTTCGCCGCTCGCTCTAGCAACAAGACATCGACGCCGACATTGCCCAGGTCGTGCAGCTATCCACGTCGTCTCCGTCAGCACCGCCAAATGCACAGATCGAACTACCTCGGTCGCAAACGGACGCAGCCGCGTGCAAATTTCGGCCAGAAGCAGCGCCACCGAGTAGACGTCGGCCGCGACCTCGTCCATGCAGTCACCGCGGAGGACCTCGGGCGCCTTGTGTGCGAGTCGCTGGCTGCCAAACGACGGCCCGTCCGGCAAGCGCAAATCTGAATACGTCAATAGACTCAGCACGTTGAGCTTGACTTGCATCTCGGCGTTGACAAGGAACTTGCGACTCGCCAAGCACGGCAGCGACCGGCCGCGGCCATGGACAAACTGCACGGCGGTCGCGACGTCTATGCACATGTTCCACTCGACGTCGTCCGAGATGGCAATCTTGGGGTTTGCAAGCACCGTCGCCAGTGACCCGTTCTCCATGCACTCGACGACCGCGCCGACGCACATGTCGTCGAGGCGCGGGAAGGACGCGACGCCGAGGAAGAGCACGAGGTTCACATGCTGGAGGTTCGAGACGAGCCAGAGGTCGGACAAGAACGTCTCAACGTCCGGCGATTCTTTCGAGACGTACTTGATGACGACATCCCGGTCCTCGAACACGCCTTGCAGCAGCGCCCGACTCGGCTTGACGAGCGTCATGCGCGTCGGGGCTGGCAGCCGGAGGTAATCCGGAAACGACGCGAGCATCGGGTCGGACAAGCTCGGATCGGACACTGCTAGGGCATGACTCGACTTGCGCCCCGTCGAGCTTGCTGTCGAGAGGCGGTCGCATGTCGTTGGCACGGCAGCGGGCGGCGACGCGGCGCGCCGGCGGCGGAGGTACATGAAGGCGGCAACGACGAACACAAAGGCGGCAATGACGCCGAGGATGACGGCGACGACGACAAGCGCGCTCATGGTGCTGCCGTCGGCCGATGCCATGGCAGGCGCGTCCGTCACGTTGATGCTGCCACTCTCGAGGCTGTCGCGCGGGCTCTTTGTGGCCTGGCTTGCGTCGTTCGGCGCGAGCCAGAGTGTCGTGTTGAGGCGAGGAGCGCCCGCGATGTACCTAGAGCACAGTTCGTGCAGCCATAGATACAGGAAGCACGTACGCGTGCGGCGGCGCCGAGACGTTGAAGGGCGTCGCGACTTGAAGGTTGGGCACGTCGACAAAGTTCCTATTCGCGATCGGATGCAGAAGCGCTGCGAGCAGAAGTGGTGGGCGTACACAAAAGCCAGCTTGGTGTAGTTTTGCAGCGAGATCGACGTCACGGTCGCGTTCTGGAGCACGCTGTAGATTGTGCATGAGACCTTGCTGCAGGTAGAAGCAACGTACAAGAGGCTCGCCATCGGGGCTTGCAGCGATGCGAGGCTCGAGACGTCTGAGAGTCCGTCCAGCGTTCTACAAGTCAGGCAGGCATCAATGGCCACCCCTGTATGGCCAGTAGAACGTACAAGGCCACCACGTTCGTGAGGTTGCCGGGGGCTCAAACGACCACGGGTGCCCATGACCATTTCTAATGCAATCGCATGAGTCGTCGTCCGTGCCATCGACACTGCAAGGCAGTACATGGTGAGCTGGGAGAGGTTCATGGCGGCCCAGGACGACGCGTCGATCGCGATACCGCCGGCGGCTTGGATGTCGACGGTCATGGCGCCGCCCTCGTAGCACCATACGCTTGTCGGACGCTTCGCTGCCGGCTCCGTTCGGTTGTAGCACTCGGTAGCCGCCCGCGCCGTCGTCCTCGCGGCCGTCATGGGCAGCCGATCGAAAATGAGCCCGACAACAATCCTTGCACCGACGCCGACGCAGCCAATCGGAGGCGACGCGAAATTCCAACAATATTTCTGCTGAATATGTTAAAATAGCTTGCTATTTGTATCGGATTTGGACTTTTTTTCAAAAAATATCCTGCGCGTCGCCACCGGCAAGCACCACCGACGTCCGTGGCCTTGACGCCGCCAATTGTACCGCCGCCATGTCCTTGGCCATCGACGCCTGGCAGGAAGCAGACAAGAGGCCATGGCGCATGGGCTGCATATGCATGGGCGAGGATGGGTCATGCGTCTCCGCACGACCTCGCGGGCAATCATCATCCAGCATCAAATCCAGCAACCGCGCATCGGAGCGGTGCGCCGCCAGATGGTTTGCGGCCAACGACGGTCGCTGGCGAGCAAGTTGTCCAGTTGTCGACAGGCGATGACCAGGGCAATGACGTCCATACCTCTGTCCATGCGTCCATACACGATCCTCCATGTCATCCAGGCGTAGGCAATCGCGTGGCCGCTAATAGTACGCCAGAGAGCGTGGGCAGTGGTGCCATTGCCATGCTGCTCTCTCGACGCTTCTGGACCAGCAAGCATCCATACACGGGTTGTCTTCAAATATCAAAGCTACCACACGACTCCTACAACTCCGCCGTATGGATCGAGGTCTTGAGGTCCTTGAGGCGCTGGAGGACAATCCCCGAGTTCGGGCGCCGGCTCGGCATCGGATCCAAGCACGCCATCACGAGCTTCTGGTACGCGTCCGGGAGGTTGACCCACTTGAGGCTCTTGGTGTCAAAGGGCGGCGGCACGCCACGCCCGGCCATGACGTTGTCGAGGATCCACACATCCGTTTGGACCATGCCGACCTCGGAGATTTCCTTGTCGAACGGCCGCGTCGTCGTGCCAATTTCCGCGAGGACGACGCCGAGCGAGTAGACGTCGGCGGCCAAAAAGTTCTTCCACTCATTGATGAGCACTTCCGGCGCCTTCCAGGCAATGCGGTTGGCGCCGTACATCTCCTTGCACAAGACGCTGGCTTTGAAGGACGCCATGAAGTGAAAGATGTTGAGCTTGCAGCTGTAGTTGGCTCCGACGAGCACCATCGAGCTCTTGAGGTGCTCGCACGGCACGGGCGACGGCAAGAGCGTATGCAGATAGTGGATCGCCTCGGCCACGTCGATTGCCATGCGCAGCTGGATGTCCCACGTCAGCGGCACGGTCTGGTACACGCTCGCGAGGCTGCCCTTGTCCTGGAACTCGGCGACGGCGTAAATGTCCGTGCCGGACAAGCACGTGACGCCAAGGTACGCGACGAGGTTCGGGTGCGACAAGCGCGCCATCTCCTTGACGCCCTGGAAGAAGCTGTCGGTGATGTGGTCGCCGGCGAGGCGCGGTGCCCGGCGAAGCGCGAGCCGCGCGTTCGTCGTCGTCATCTCGCCCATCCAAATGTCGCCACCGAGGCAGCGTGCGAGCGCCACGTGCTCCGGCGGCAGCTTGGTCAGCGTCGCGTCGTTCGCACCCGCCGTCTTGTACTTGGACATGGTTTGGTTTGTCACGTACGCTTCGTCGACGTCGTAGAAGAAATCGTCGGGCGAGTGCGCCGAGCTCATGCCGGGCGACCGCGCGCTCGCGCGGCGGCTGCGGCGGTGCACGATGATGGCGACGAGCACGAGGATCGACGCGAGGCAGCTCACGACCACGAGCGTTGTCACGGCACCAGAGGACGGGCCATCGCTACCACTGCGACTGGCCGACACTAGCACGCATTGTCAGATGGTCCATTTGGCATATTTGAGGTCGAACCTGGCGCGCACACGACCTTGGCCGCGTCGTTGCACGTCTTGGTGGCAGCGAACGCTTCCGTCACGATGCAGGCCGTTCCGAGCGCAGTAAACTTGGCGGCTTCCTGCGCCGACGTGAAGCTGACCGTCTCGATGCTGTTGTACGAGAGGTTCCTATGAAGATGTTCTCGTCACGGTGGAATCGGGTGTGTGAAATGGCATACAAGAGCGTGAGGCCAGGCACGGATAAATACTGGTTGGGGAACTTGGTGAGCTTGGCGCTGTTGGTGAACTGCGCACTGTAGAGCGCGCTAATGCCCGTCGTCGGCAGCGCCGCCATCTCGTGGTAGTGGACGGTCCTACGACGTCGGATGAGATGGCTGCGTCACGGTGACGATGAGCGTACAGCTCGGTGAGGTTGGTCGCCTCGGGCAGCGCAATCTCTGTCGTAAAGCAGCCGTCCAGAATCCTAGACTACCACGTGAGCGACGCTGTCAACGAGATGTCGTCGCGTACAGGCTCGTGAGCGACAGCGGGAGCGCGCCGGACTCGACACGCGTGATCTCCAAGTACTCGTTCTTATCGGCCGACTTGACGCAGTTGCCGTTCCTAGCATCAATACTATGAGCGAAAACGAGGTCGGCCGTGGCAACGTACAGCGCGTCGAGGGCCTTCATGCCAGCGAACGCGCCCTTGCCGAGGTTGATGTGCTCATTCACAGCCGCTCCCGAGAAGCCACGCACGATGTTCCTAGCCATCCGCATGAGGCCGTAGATTCGCTTCGCTGCGCGCATACAGGGTCTTGATCACACCAACGCTGTCGGTCGCCACGAGCTTGGCAAACTTGGCACCTGTGATTGAGAGTGCGCCAGGTGGCACCGTGTTGTTGTTGGCTGCCTTGGTGATCGCAAGGCTGACAGTCGCGGCAGCCGGGATGCATTGCTTCTCCGGACACGTGAGGCACCATTGCTTGTCGACAACATCCAAGGTGCACGGCGCTTGCGAGGTCGTCGGCGTCGTGACCTGGGCGGCCGCGAGCGCGAGCCCTGCGAGGAGCGCTAGCGGGGTCTTGGCCATGGGTCTGTATAGGTAGGTACTCGGGGCTGGAGTCGGTGAAGTCGGCTACCGCAAGGCTGCAAGGTCAAATGACGGGCCTGGCTTGACGCCCTCACTAGAAATGAGCGCCGGCGCTTTCGCGTAGTAATAGGGTGTGTATCAGCCACACTGGCCCTCTGCACATACAAAACCCAAGATAAAACCCAACGAACGCCACTCGGTGAAAGCAATTAAATTCGTTTGACCAGCGTGACTTGATGTTTGTATGCCAACCCGTTCAAGAAACCATGCACGTGGTTCGATCGTGGACGTGAAATACAATGCCTACGTTTTATTCCACTATAATATATATGAAATATGGTATGTACATTCGTACGACACGAATATTATTATACGCGGCCTCCACATGGCGCCACCCCGCTTGGGCGCGTCACGCGGATTCATCGACGTGCTGCGTTGGAAGAAGCCGCCCTTAGCATTGCGCCGACGACCCGCTGCAACAACCCCGACGACGCAGCTGCAACGACAACCAATCCTTGAACACGTTGCGCGACCCGAAAAGGAAGCTTGTCAACGACTCGACTGAGAAACGCAAAGGCAACCTCATGTTGCCATCTCACAACCCAAGCAGCGCTCGGTGGTGGTGATGCGGTGGTCATGCGGGCGAGGAGGAGCGGCGGGTGTGAGCCAGTGCACAGCTCGGGATTTTCAACATGTAGAAAGTACGGTGTAGCAGCGGATGCATAGCAACAACATGCGACGACCAGGTGCGTGTTCGGTTTGAAACGAACGCCAACAGAGTGGACTCGGTCAGTGCTGGACGCTGTGTTCGATGCGCGCGTACACTGGACGTCCTTGCTCGAGGAGCTCGCTCAAGGCCACCATCGCCGTCCAAACGTCATCGTTCGAATTGCTGCGTCGTTATCAAAAGTCCGGTATTTTTATCGTTTGTACCGTAAATATGACAGGGTTGTGATTGGTGCATATAATACACCCTTTTTGGCGAATCAGAAAACGTTACCAACTGGACGCCACGGAGAACGCTTGCAGGGAGATGGCGGACGACGAGCAATGGGACGACCTGGCCATCATGAAGGTACTACTTCGTAGCATCCTATAGCGCGTCTACAAGAAGCAAATGCGTTATGCTCGAGTAGGCCTTTGATGCCGCCGTGAACAAGCGCAAGGCCAAGCCGGCCAAGCACGCCCCACGCACCGCGGTACGCCCCGCCCATGTAGCTACGCCTCATGCAACATTGGTAGAGCCACGCGCCGACGCACCATTCCGCCGCACCGCACACGCACGCATTGAGCCCGCCCAAGTCACCCGCTGTGTCGCATCGTAGTGTGCCCATGCACACGCCACCGCCCGCTGTGCACGGGGGCATCCCGGGCAGCTCATTCCAAGCCCATCAGTCGACATTTCCTCCACCAGAGGCTACGTACTACCACTCGCACGGCTATGCTACACCCTCGCACGCTGCCTTTCCAGCGCACAACTACCCACCGTCGACACCTCCGCACGCGGCCTACCCCTCGCCACACGCCGCCCACACGCAGCACACACCGCGAGCGACGGAGCAGTACGCCGATGCGTATGCCCGTGCCTACGCGCATGCCATGACGCAGGGCGCGTCGCCGTCGTTTGCGCCACATCCCGCGCCGGCGTGTCCGTACGGCTGTCAACAGCAGCACGGTGGGCTGCCGGGTATGCCAGGCTTGTCGCCGCCGATGGTCCAGGACGACGATCTCTCCAAGCTCCTCCTCTCGTGGTATCAGTCGGGGTACTATGCTGGTCGCTACAAGGCGATGCAAGAAAACAAGACGTCGACGTTCTTTCGACGATAGAATAGAGTGCTACAAGTACTAGCTCATAAGGACGTGAATGAGCTCGGTCAGTCGTCGTGGATCTAATCATCGCAGCATGAGCCAGGAAGCAGCGCCTCTGTAGAGCCCTACCGCAGCCGAGATGATGTTCCAGTGCGCCAAGCGCTTGGCGATCGCGTCGTTCGAAGGCAAGTCCTTGGTCTGCCAGTCGACCAACGTCGCGAAGTGGCCTTCGATCTCCCAGATCGAACTGGGCGCTGGCGGCGCGTCCGACGAGAAGGCGTTAAAGTCATCTTCAGCCGTCTCATCTGGCACGCCTTCGTCGACCATGACGAGGCCCGCGTAGCCGAGAGTGTCGAGGTGCACCTCGGTGCCACTGAGCTCGATCCCGCGGAAGCGCGCCGCCTTGGCGTCGCCGGCGTCCTCGACGACAAAGTACGACGAGATCGGCGCCTTGCCATCGTGCTTGACCTTGCATGGTAGCACGTGGACGCGCTCGTCGGCCGCCGACGGTAGAGGACACCGCGTCGCGCAGAGCTTCTGGTGGCCGCTCATGGGTCGCGTCGCCGCTGCTCTTTGAACCAGTCTCCAATCGCCTCGCACGTGATTGGCTACTTCTTTTTATCCAATCCACATCGTTCCGTGCTGTGATTGGCGGAATCACGATCTTTGCCAGAATCTACCACAACGCACCAAGGCTGCTCTACTCCTGGTAAAGAAGAAATGTCAACCAAGAAGACAGAGGACTAGGAGGACCGGCAGCTCAAGGACAAGCTTACCACGTACATGTACCACGAGCATCAAGTCAGTCACCGAGCTTTTAAATTGGAGACGCAGATCGCACCTTACGTCGCCGAGGGAGCCCCGGTTGGCTGGACAGGTCTACTTAGCACCGTAGAAGAGCGCGCGGCTCCAGTGTTTGCTTGCTGGTCAGCTCGTTATCGCCAACGCCCACGGCTAGCTTAGATGCCAGCGAACAAAGCTATTGGTAGGGTCGCATTCCAACATTCCACTCCACCTCTGGTATCCTCGTCGTCGCTGATTCAAAAATATTTTCACGCCAACGAGACGTTGTATCTTGTGGCTTGAAAATCCTGGTTCCACGAGCGATCCAACGCACTGCAGCAACCCAGTCTAGGGCGTGGATAGTGCGCAGCATACCGATGTCGAGTCCAAATATCCTAACGTTATCCAGCAAGTATCCATGGCCGACGGCATCGATCCGATCGGTCGAAAAGGCGCGTTGTATGCAAGTGTCGTATCGATGAACGTTAAAGGTCTTGCACGAGGTACACGCGGCAGAGTTCGCGAAAGTAGCTGCGCAAAATCCGGTGCTTCATTTCGTCCCTGCTGCTCACGGGGTTGGACGCGTTGAGCTCGGGGCACTGAAGGAGCTGCGTGAGCAGCTGCACATGACTACAGTATCAACTTGATACATAAATACGTGACATAAAACAAACCTCGGTGTGCCCTGCTTGGCCGTCGCGTGCACGTGCACGAGCATCTCGAGGAACGGGAGTTCCCAAAAATACTGGAAGAACGCCGCGTCGTGCGTCTGCGGCGAGAGCTGCAGCATCCGCAGCCCGTACACGACCTCGTCTTGCTGGAAACACTGGTAGAGGACGGCCGCGGGCACATGCGCGCCGAGCTTGACGAGGCAGTGGCTCAAGCGCACGAGCGAGCTCTGGTCAATGAGGTCCACCGTTCCAAAGGCGAAGAAGTTGGTGGCGAGCGATGCGGCCGCCAAGTAGTGGCGCAGCGCCGTCTTGTAGTCTACGAACGCCATGAGTCAATAAGTACTGGGGCGCGAGAACGCACCGCCGACCGACGACAGCTTCTGGAGCACGATTGGGTTGACGCACACGTCGGCCATTGCCACATGCCAGCGCGGCTCCCGCGGACTCCGCGAGAGAAGCGTCGTGAGCACGAGTTGGTGAAGCTTGACGACGTCGCTCTGCGCGAGCTTCATCGACTGGACCGGGTCCATCGCGCCGCCCGCATCGTTCGGGCCAAAGGCGAGCATGATGGCGAGGTCGCTGTAAGGCACGAGGTCGTACGAAATACGGTACTCGCACTACACATGCTCGCTGTGAACCCAGAGAAGACGCAAGCGACCGTACGAGGTTCATCGCATACGCACGCTGCAAGAGACCGGCGCAGAGCGAAATGAGTGCATCGAGTGCGGGAATCGGGAGCTCAGCCACCGCGGCCGACTGCTTGGCCTCTTTCATCGCAGCCACGACGCCTTCGAGCAGCGCAATGGCGCGCTTGACGCCAAAGTCACTTGGCGGCTGCGACGTGTACTCCATGAGAGCCGCGACCGCCGCCACGACAGGCGAGGAATCTAATCCATGTATTTGTACACAAGTACGCGGCATGGACTGTCGTACGCTCGTTCTGGGGATCGCGCAAAGCTGCGTACGCGCCGCGGGCCCACAGCTGGTGCACGGCACTGCCAGCGTCTTGCGGCGCCGCCAGCGCTGCATACGCAATGCGCTGGCGCTTCGTGCTCGGACGCTCGTCCTCCGGCGCTGGCGCCTCTGTCGACGCCACGTCCAGAAGGGTTCTCAAGGCCGCGTCGGGGCACGCCGCGAGGACGCTCTGGATGTGGGCGACGAGAAAAGCGCGGTGCTTTCCAAGACCTGGCACTCGATGGTATTGGCACACGGCGGCCTTCCCAGCCGACAGGATCGACGATCGCAGCGTCTACGCAGGGTTCATACAACGAGCGGCGATGCAATGCTGCCTACCCGATGGACGAGGAGGACGAGGTACACTTGTTGCAGCATCTCGAGCTCGGCGTCGCGGGTCAGAGGCAGTGCTTGCAACACTTGCGCTTCCAAGGAGCTTTGGAGTCTACCGACCACGACAACCTGAGGATGTAGATGGCCACAAGGGTGTACGTTGGCGAGAGCGCGACGGGCTCGTTGGCTGCCTTCTTGTGCGTCTCGGCTTGGAGCAACGCGAGCAGTGTACTGTACTCTTTGCGATCCCATGCGCCTTGGAACGCATGGTCGGTAGCGCCGACTAGAGATCGAAACGCTGGGTTCGTAGGCTATGCAGATGTGGTGGCACGTACGATTGGTGCCCAAGACGGCTTCGCACGCTTGGATGTACCCTGCGAGCGCCGGTGCGACCGCCTAAGACGACCTTTCTTGAAGAGAAACACGTGGCCTTTCAAAGCGCTACCTCGGTCGTCTCGCGCGCTTTCGTAAAGTACTGCAGCGCGGGCGCAAACTGCTTTTTGTGAAAGTGGTACACGCCCATGTCGTTGAAGGCAAGGTGTTGCAGCAGCGGCCGCGACGTCATGGACGCGACGAGGCGGTCGAGGTCGTCAAGGACGTGCTGCATGGACGGCAGTGAGATGCCATTGAGCTGCTCGACCTCATCTGGCGGTGGCTTGGTGTTGTCGCTCAGTGGCAGCTTGCCGACGAGCGTGAGCGGCGAGATATGCATCTTCTTGACGGCAATGCGCAGCTGCCAGCGCGCACGCAGCACGGACGCTTCGTCGATGCTAATGTGCTCGACTTCGTGGAGGCGCAGCACGCGCGGGTTGGTCGCATACTCGACGAGACCGTCGAGCAGCAGGCTCTGCAACTGCGTCGGCACCGTGGCTTCAATGTCGGCAAGGTCAAACTTGAGCTGCAGCACGACGAGCGCGGCGAGGCACAGCAGCATGTTGTGGCGCGCGCTTGGCTCGGTCGGGTTGGTGTTGCTGTACGCGGTTGCCGGGTTCTTGACCTTCTTGAGCAGCTCCGTCAGCACATCATGGGCCGTTGGCGTCGACGTCGGGTCCGCGAGCAGCGCCCGCGTGTGCTCGAGGAGCTTCGCGGGCTGGAAGAGAAAGTCGTACCAATCGTGCTCGGTGTGCGCCAGCTGCACGTCAATCGCCGGCTGCTGGAACAGAGACCGGTACGTGCGGTCTGGCGTCGGGACGCCACGCGACGGGTTGCGAGGTGACGGGCGCGGCGAGAGCTCGGCGTTGCCGCCAAGACCAAAGACCATGTCACGCTTGTCAATGTAGTCTTGGACGTCTTGCGCCGACGGCCGCGGAGTCCCGGGGCACGTTGCCATGCTTGCTTGCGCTCGGTGTGTGGCGACGTGTGTACCCGAAATAGTGTGATTACACCATATTCAATGTGATATTAATAGTGTTTCTCCGACGGTGCATGCGGCCTGCGACCAGCTCCCGACCGTCTAGGCGATGAAGCGAGCAAGCGCAGGTGTTCCTTCGTAGCAACCACATCAATACGATAACATACCAGCTATGCAATCGGTTTTGCGAGGTGAGGCGGAAGACCAGCGTAATTTCACGTAGCAACAACAACCTTGTCCGGACGATCTTGAAGATCCGACACCAGAGGTTGCACTTGACAGAGCCACCCGCAGGAGCTGGTAGAGCTGCAACCAGCAATACCGGCAATGCAGAAGAGGCTCATGACGTTTGCCCAGGTGCAGCCACCGACTACTTCCACCTCGGTCCCTTCAAGCTCCATTGCGCGTCCCTGCGTGGCGTTTGCATGTCCGAGGATCGAAGCGGCTTCCTCGTCCCATCGGCCGCCGAGAATATCGAAGCGAAGCGATGACGCGCCCACCAAAGCAGCTGGCTTCACTTGGCGCCAAGCTTGGGGCGGTGGTCGCTTTGGTGCCCGCCTCTCCCTGTTTCGTTCGCGATCCAGCGAACGCAGGGGCCTGCCATGCTGCATCATGCGTCCACTGTGCTCTGGTCGGTGGTGTGCTCAGTCGCAGATTTGATCAAGATGGCACAACGCAGTACGTCCGAGACGCTGAGAAGAATAGAGTTTCCGCAACTCCTCTTTTAGAGACTGGCACGGCGTGGCCGCCGACGGGATGACCGACAAGGTGCTGTTTGCTGCCACAGGCTCGTGCCTCATGGCTCAACCGAACGGAGCGACGCAACCCGCGCACCACGCTGCCCGATGACACGCCAACGCGACAGTACGCAAAGCTCCTAGCCGTGACCGCGCGCCTTGACAGCGTTCCGGCGCCGGGCAAGCTCGACTACACGGTACACATTCGTGCCTCAGTCGCACGTTGAAGGCTATGAACTAGGGCACTGCCAGGTGGACGCTGCGTGAGGACATTCAGCTCGTCATGTCTTGCTAGCAAACAGTCGTTGCAGTCGTGTACACGGTGATTAGGGTACCAAGTTAACGAGCACCGAATCAAACGAGCAGTATCGAGAGTCCTTTCTCTATCTAGTTAGAGCAATTAGGGCTGTAGCAATCTACGAGGTCCGGCTTGCGACGATTTGCAGCATTTCATCGGAAATGGACTTGGCCGTCTCGTCAAAGACGTCACGAAACATGATGGAGATGCGCCGCGTCCGCTCGACGTCGCGGCCTTGAAATGTCTGGTGTCCCGGCAGGATCTCGTGGGTATAGCGGTATCGGACGCCGCCACTACGGCGCTTGTGAGACGGCGATGACGCGACTGGAAGCTACCTCATGCAGTAGAACGATCGGCGCGGCAGGAATGCATCGAGCTGCGACGGCCCGACCGACCTCTTCTTTGAAGCGCATCACAGACGGCGAGAGCAAGCTAATGCCAGCGACGATTTGGCCAGAAAACTAATACATATCGCGATTGCCTTCTGCGCCCATGATCGAGGAACGTCGTACCTTGATCGAGTCGACGTGGGGCTTGATGTACCCCGCTTCGGCGAGGTCGATGACATGGACAGTTGGAAAGTACGTCAGTTGCGGTGGCATCACGGGCAGCGACCGCAAGTGCGCCAAGATAGCATTGGCCTCTACAGATACGTGTGCATGTAGGCGACTCCGCCGACGTTGAAGGCGACTTTGTACCGGCGCTCCACTTGGTCGTCTCCATCTCCTTGAAGTTGACGATGACTTGGTCCCAATGATCTGTCTCGTAGCGCCGACGGCGAAGGAGGGTCGCAGCTTCATCCGCAAGGCGCTGCTCGTCGTCCTCGGAGATCACGTCGGTCATGACCTGGAGATCGCTCGGCTGGAGAAAGGGGTCGCAGCAGAGAGACCGGTCGACGTTATCGGAGGTCGCCCACGAGTACGGCAGCGCCGGAGCAGTGGAGAGACGGCGCACGAGACGGTGGCGCAGGCCCATGCAGCGAAGCGGTCGAAGCATCTTGGCAAGTGATGGCGAGGACGGCCGTGCTTGGCGTGCGCGCTTCCTTGCACAAAGTCCTTCTTGACACCTACTATGGATTTAAATCCTAGAACGAAATAGGCATACAATATACAAGCTGACATGCAATAATAAAATAATGACTAGGCGCACGCCACTTGTCATCGCCTTGCTAGGATTGCATAATTGCAGCCTCGAATCCACGCTCATGGAGGTCATCCTTCATATCGCCAAGCCTATTTACACTCACTAGTATCGTACCGTTCTGCCTTGAAGACAGTATACGCGGATGCGTTCAATTAGAACCATATCCAAGTGGCGTGCGTTTAGCCTGTAATTTGGGCTTGTGCAAAAGTCCTAATTAGCTTTTTTTGCCCAAGGATGCAATCGCCGACGACGGAGCGCCCCACGGTCGTCCGTGTCGGGGTCATCTTGCCGCTCAAGAAGACGCGCAATGGGCGCATGCAGGAGCTGCTGCGCAGCCAGGCTGATGGCGTCCACTTTGTCCACATCGACCTCGACGTGGTCACGAGCGTTGAGGACATCACGACCAAGTTCGGCGCCTTCGACGTGCTCCTGCACAAGCTCGCCCATGACATGATCTTGAGACGCTCGGCGATACGGCCGCCATCAAGAACATGGCCATCATGCACGAGTACATTCGGAAGCACCCGCATGTGCGCATTGTGGACCCGCTCGCTGGCGTTCGGTTGCTCACGAACCGTCGCGACGTCTGCGCCATGCTAGCGACGCTCGCGTCCACGTCGGGGCTACCGTTCTCGATTCCAAACCACGCGATCATCGAATCGCAGGACACGAAGCGCGCCTTCCTCGCTCAAGTCGCTGCGGGAACCTTCTCTCTTCCCGTGATCGTCAAGTCCTTCGAAGCCTGCGGTACATCCTTCTGAAGCTGGCGTCGACGCTTGTAGCATTATCATCGTCTTGTAGGCACGGATGCCTCCCACATGATGAAAGTCATTTCGTGCGTCGAGGACGTCGAAGCGCTCGCTGTGGACGGTCCCCTGCTCTTCCAGGTACGCTATGTTAGCCAGACCTTGTCGTGCTCATGATGCTGCACAGGAATTTGTCAACCATGACGGGCGACTGTACAAGGGCTATGTCCTCGGCCCGACGATCCTCGTCTCCGAGCGTGTGTCGCTGCCCAACCTCGAGCGTGGCGGGGCCAAGTCGGTCGAGTTTGACACGCAGAGCCCGTTTCCGACGGCCGCGTCGTTTGCAATCGCGCCAGCGCCCGTCGTCGCGACGCCACCGACGGCCATCAGCGCTGCGTTGACCGAGTCGTTGCACGCGATTGGCCGCGCCATCCAGGACGCGACCCAGCTGTCGCTCTTTGGGTTTGACGTGATCATCGACGCGCGTACGGGACAGCACCTCGTGATCGATGTCAACTACTTTCCGTCGTTCAAGGAGCTGCCGGACTTTGACGCGCGCATGCGGTCGCTCATGCGCCAGGCGTAATACATTATACATCCGGTGGAGTATTTTTCAAGGAATAATTGTGTCATTAAGAGCGCGATTGAGCATTTAGAGCTGACCGCAGTCGGCGATGACGACGGGCTTCTTGGTCTGGCCCGACTGCGAGCCGACACCTTCAATCTTCTTGACGATGTCCATGCCCTTGACGACCTTGCCAAAGACGACGTGCTTGCCGTCCAACCAGGCGGTCTCGACCGTGCAGATGAAGAACTGCGAGCCGTTCGTGTTGGGGCCGGCGTTGGCCATCGAGAGGATGCCCTCGCCCTTGTGCTTGAGGAGGAAGTTTTCGTCCTCGAACTTCTCGCCGTAGATCGACTCGCCGCCCGTGCCGTTGCCACGCGTAAAGTCACCGCCCTGGCACATAAAGTTGGGGATCACGCGGTGGAAGCCCGAGTTCTTGAAGTGGAGCGGCTTGCCCGAGCGGCCGACGCCCTTCTCGCCCGTGCAGAGCGCGCGGAAGTTCTCGGCCGTCTTGGGGACCTTGTCGGCGAAGAGCTCGAACTCGATGCGGCCCGCGGGCGCGCCGCCGACGGTCATGTCGAAGAAGACGATAGGGTTGGCCATTTTGCGAAGAAGGTGCAAGTTGCAAAGTGAGCGTTCTGTGGCCAAGGTCCCTCCCCTACCCCGCGTGGCGTCATTGGCAAGATTCGAAGGTTCGAGCGTCGCCATTCGTTTTCAGAGGTTTATTGTTTTATTCAACGGTCCCAACTCGCTACAAAACGTGAATACATCTTGGCGGCATGGGATAAAAAGTAGAGACCCCCGAGATATGATTTCTTCGAAACCTGTGATATTGGATACCTGCAACAGTCAATTTCTTGAACCGACTCGACGCGCTCCAGCTTGACGCCACGTCATCGCTGACGCCACTGCAGAAGATGGACAGCAGGACATAGAGCACGCAACTACTAGGGAGGATGCTGCATAGAAGAACCCTATACGCTCGGATCGACAAGCTCCTTGCGATCGACCGAGCGATGGAAGGTGTAGTGGGATCCTCGAAACCGCTACGGTATTGGCACGGTTACGGGCAAGCCGAATCCAACTGGATTCTAGTCGATAGCCGTTTTAGTCGATCTTTAGTCGATGGAGTTTGATCGGTTGAAGTTGCGGCGGCTGCTGTGGGACCAACCGGGAATGGACCACTTCCGTAGTGTATTGCTCGACGCGGCTGATTGAAGGAGGCCCATGACCGTGCCCCGGCGCTACGAGATGGCGGCGCTCTGCGCCATTGGCACGCTCCTCTGCTATGCCGACCGTACGTCCTCCTTGACAAAGCAACCTCTGCACGATGCGATGCATGTACTAGGTACCAACATTGGCGTCGCGATTCCCGCGTTCCAGGCCGACCACGGTATCCAGGGCCATGTGCTCTCGGCTTTCTTCTATGGCTACATCTGCACGCAGTACTTTGGGGCGTGGCTCTCGAGCAAGGTCGGTCCCAAGGCCGTGCTGCTCGGCGGCGTTGCGCTCTGGACATGCTTTGACGTGCTCACCGTGCCCTGCGCGACATCGCCAATCTTGCTATGGCTTGTCCGCGCCGGCATGGGCCTCGGCGAAGGCATTGTCTTTCCGTGCATGCACAACGTAGCCTCGTCGTGGTTTCCGATCCCCGAGCGCAGTCGCCTCAACGCGCAGATTGCCAGCGGCATGGACCTCGGCACGGTCTTTTCCATGTTTGTCGCGCCGCTGCTCATGGCGTCGTGGGGATACCCGGCGATCTTCTTCTTCTTTGGCGGCCTGAGCGCGCTCTGGCTCGTCGTCTTTTCTTGGCGCGGCGCCAGCCGACCCGAAGACGATGCACGCATCTCGGACGACGAGCGGGAACTCATTGTGGCAACGCGCAACACGGCGGCGGCCAAGGAGTTTGGCACGCCCCACACGATGGTCGTCGAGCTGCCGTGGCGCGCGTTCTTCTCGTCCAAAGCTCTGTGGGCCATTTACGCGAGCCATTTCGCGTACAACTATGGCTGGTACGTCTTGCTCGGGTGGATTCCTCAGTACCTTCGTCTCCAGCTGCACCTCGAGCTCGCCTCGAGCGGCGTCGCCGCTGCGATCCCGTACCTCGCAGGCTACGCAGGGATCCTATATTGGGGCTGGCTCTCGGACCGGCTCATTGCGCATGGCGTGCGACTCGTCACTGTGCGCAAGATCACGAACGGATTCGGCCTCCTCGGCTCGGCCGTGTGCCTCTACGTGCTGCGCTTTGCCTCATCGACGGTCTCGGCCGTCGCCCTCCTCTTGCTCACGCTCTTCTTGTCCCGCGCAGCAGCATCCGGGTACTGGGTCAACATGCTGGACGTGGCGCCGCGTCACGCTGGCCACGTTGTACTCGAAGCCCGATGTATTGCATTAGGAAGACGCAGATTGTGCATTAGGTCATGGGCATCAGCAACACGATTGCGACACTGCCTGGCATTTTCGGCAACATTCTCACGGGCGAAATCCTTCAGCGCAGCGGCAACTGGGACCTCGTGTTTCTAATTGCGGCCGCCGTCTTGACGATCGGCGGCATCATCTTTCACTGCTGGGCCGGCGACCATGATGTCTTTGCCATGGACGACGACGTCAGCGACGAGGCAGCTGTGCCTGTCAACGTGCACACTACGTTGCTGCCCGAAAAAGCATACTACTAGTGACCCGCTACCGCCTAGACACGTAATGAGATTCTCGCTCCTCGATCTCGCGGCTCTGTCGGCCATGGCTAAAGAGCGACGGCCATGCATCCGCGCGAAATCTTCGCGTTGGTTCATCCAACTTCTTCAACTTCAACTTTGATTGCAGTGTATTTTATTGTCCCGTGCCGCGTTATTCGAATAAAAATACCAAGACCGCATACAATGTGCAAGGTATTTGTATGCAAATATCGACGGTTGATTTTAAACGCGTGCGCTGTTTTTATTCCCCACCAGTCGTTTCACGGTATGCAATGTCAAAGGTTTTTTAACCCCCAAGTACCGCAAATGCACCCACCACGCGACCCAAGAATGTATTCTTAGAGGTAGTCAGCTTGCTGGGTGCGATGGGGCACATCGATACTATACTGGAACTGAGTATGCCCACCATTTTGGCCAATCCACGGCACGCATTTCAAAAGGGGGGGACGGCGGCATTCGAGAATTTGCCGCCCGTCGCGCACGTCCATTTTCAGGTAGTGCTACTAGTCTAGTTAGTCGATGCGTAGTCGATAGTCGATTGTCTGAACCAGCGAGGGGTGCTTCTCGCGGGTGGGCCCATGGAAGAGGACGCCTCTTCTGTGAACATGCCCAGCCCGCGGGTCGCTGAGATCATACCCTTTTAACCTGATCCGGGTAAAACCGGCGGAGGGACTGCTGTGATGTACCTGGAGCTCAATATTTGTCTTGTCCTGGCAGCAGCCTAACCATCATGTTCGCCCTCGCCCGCTCGTCGCTCGCTACACGTTGCATGTCCACTGTGGGCCCGCATGCGCCCAAGATTGTCCGTGCCGGCAACGGACGGGTTCCGGACGAAGCGTGGCAAAAGGCCAACAACGCGCGTTCGACGCCCTTCGACGGCTACACCTTTGCGTAGGCGACCGACGCATCGAGCGATGCACCTAACGCATGTGCGTAGCCCTGTGAAGGAGGCCGAGGTGTCCCGCGAAATGACCACCCGTTACATGAAGGACATGTACGACTATGCGGACTCGGATGTCATCATCGCGGGCGCCGGGTCCGCCGGCCTCTGCGCCGCGTACGAACTCTCCAAGTACCCGAATGTCCGCGTCGCCATCATTGAGCAAAGCGTCGCGCCCGGCGGCGGCGCCTGGCTCGGCGGCCAGCTCTTCTCGTCCATGATCGTGCGCAAGCCCGCGCACCACTTTTTGGACGAGCTCGAGATCCCGTACGACGTCAAGGAAGACCACGTCGTCATCAAGCACGCGGCTCTCTTCACGTCGACCGTCATGGCCAAGGTGCTCAAGGCCGACAACATCAAGCTCTTCAACGCGACCGCCATCGAAGATCTCATCATCAAGAACGGTCGCGTCGGCGGCGTCGTCACCAACTGGACGCTCGTGACCCTCAACCACGGCACGCAGTCGTGCATGGACCCGAACGTCATGGAAGGCAAGGTCTTGATCAGCGCGTGTGGCCACGACGGTCCCATGGGCGCCTCGGGCGTCAAGCGCCTCCAGAACATTGGCATGGTCGAGAACATTCCTGGCATGGGCCCGCTCGACATGGGCGCGGCCGAAGACGCGATCGTCGCCGGCACCAAGGAGATCGTCCCCGGTATGATTGTCGCCGGCATGGAAGTGGCCGAGCTCGACGGCGCGCCGCGCATGGGCCCCACCTTTGGCGGCATGATGATCTCGGGCCAGAAGGCGGCGCACTTGGCGCTCGAAGCGCTCGGCATCAAGAGCCACATCAACCCCAACATGTCGTTTGCCATGTCGCCGGTCCGCAAGGCCGCGTAAGCAGCGCACTAGTAGTTTTTCGTACGAGGCAGCTCAATAAAATCTCCCTTGTTGTTGCCACCACCAAGTGTCAAGAAGCCATACTCTCGCCGCTGCCCTACTCCCATGCATGTCGTTTGGCTGCCCGTCCTCGCCCTCGTTGCCCGACGCCCCACGGCAACCTCGAGCCAGCCTTCATTTGGCTTCTTCGTGCACCCATGGTGCATGTCGCCGAAGCGTCTCGAAAAGAGCAAGCAAGACGACGACGTTGTCGGATGGATGTGGCATCAATAGTCCCACCAATGTGTTGTTGTATCGGGTCTAAATTTCGAGGAGGAGGCGGCGCGGATCGCTGACGGCGTCGGCCACCGTCTTGAGGAACGTGACACCTTCCCGGCCGTCAATCAAGCGGTGGTCGTACGAGAGCGAGATGTACATCATCGGGCGCGAGACGACCTTGCCGTCGTGGTACACGGCGCGGTTCTGGATGCCGTGGAGACTCATGATGGCCGACTGCGGCGCGTGGAGGATCGACGTGCTGAGAAGCGAGCCCTGGACAGCACCGTTCGCAATCGAAAAGGTGCCACCGGCCATGTCTTCAATCGCAAGCGACCCTTCCTCCGCCTATTCCAGACATAGTTACAATCCATGGCGTCGGTGGTGTCTCGTGTACCTTAGCGCCAAGGTCCGTGAGCGAGCGCTCAATGTCGGCCATCGAGAGCGACTCGACGTTGCGGAGCACGGGCGTCGTGACACTAGAGCAACGTCGCTTCGCCCAAACGAGTTCGACAAGAAGAGATCGTACCCCTTCTCGGTCGCCACCACGACGTTGATGTCGGCGTACTCGTGGTACACAATGTCCTTGGCCTCGTCGTCGATCGCTACGGTGCTGCATAAGACACCGATATTCACACAGCAGATGACGTACAAGCGTTGATGGCCGGGACCTTCTGGAGCGCCATGGCGCTGGCCTTGACAAAGGCAGAGAGGAAGCCGAGCTTGACCTTGTGTGTCTTCTCGAACGTCTCGCCGAGCTCCTTCTGAAGCGCCATCAAGTTGCCAATGTCGACCTGTGCAAACGCCAATTTGAGATGCACGCGAGATGACGAAGCACGTACTTCTTGAAAGGTCGTGAGGACGGCCGCCGTGTCTTGCGTGTCCTTCATGCGCTGGTTGCTGCGCAAGTGGAGGTGGCTCATCTTGACCTACAGCCGCCGCATTGGACATCGAAAGAACAGTCAAGCTTCTCAAGTCGTACGCGCGTCTCGGTGCGGTTGAACTTGCCAGCAACAGGCGCCGCCGTCGGGGCAGGGACAGCCACCGTTTCCGGCTTCTTGGGAGCGGGCGCCTTGGCAGCAGCCGCGGCAGGAGTCGCCGGTGCCGCGGCAGGCGTAGGCGCGACAGGGGCAGCCGCAGCCGGTGCCGCCTTGGTAATCGGAGCTGCGGATCATATATGAGCGCGGGGTTCAGCCTGATTAAAGGCCTACCAGGAGCCGCCTTGTCAAGCGTGAACAAGGGCGCACCAACGTTGACCACATCGTCGATGCTGGCCAAGATGCTCGTGATCAAGCCGCCATGGGGCGCGTTGACGTCAACGCTGACCTAGATAGCAGGTGAGCTCGTCTGCGATGCCATGGCGGCAGCGAACCTTGTCCGTCTCAAGCACGACGACAGCTTCGTCCGCATGCACGTAGTCACCGACGTCTACAGACATGTCGTCAGCGATCTGATCCGGCCGGCGTCGGTCGACGTACTCTTGAGGCTGACGACGGTACCCTCCGAGATGGAGTCGCCCATCGAGGGCACGTTGACCATGATCTCGTCGGCCGTGGAGAACATGCGCATGGGCGCGCGGCCGGCCACAAGGCGGGGCGCTTGCATCGATCGGCTCATGGAGCGGCCGACGCGGAGGATCAAGTTGCGGCTCATGACAGTCACCCGGCGTGAAAATATGAGGAATCGGAGGGCTGGCAAACCCCTGCACGCCCGTATCCGGAACGTTATCCGGACTTCAACCGGATGGGGCAAACACGTTTAAACACAATTTGGCGCGAGTATAAACCGCGCGACGCTGCGCAGCCGCGGCAGGCGACCGCCGACGATCGCCGCGTGCCATGGGCGCTGTGACTCCATAGATGTGATGACTCCAAGAACGTGGGAAGGCAGGCGCTTCGCGCTGCAAAGCCAGCACGGCCCCGTCGCTGCGGGGCGTTAAAGCCGCGTTAAAGAAGGGCCGGAGTCCCTGATTACGGCCGCCTCGAGCGACAGCAGCGGTCCTTCCTCATGCACTACACGCAGGAATGCGGAAAGTGGACTCGAGATGGGCGCCAAGGAGCTGCAGAGGTGGCTCGCAGAGGTTGGGGCTGCGAAATTTCGAGTGATAGCAGCAGCGAAACCACGACTACTGGCCTCCGGAGCACGGCCGATCGCTGCGTGCGGCACCTAACAAGGCCTATCAGAGGCCAACGCGAGATAACGAAGCGTGTGATCGGGCTCTATTTTCATCTCGTGTTGCTTTGCACGCGCGTCTCTCTCGTCGCGGGCAATTACATCGCGCATGTCACCGGACGCTGGTGAATTACACCAGACTAGCATTTCTCGCGTGCGTGGGTTGGTGTGTTTTCTTGCCCAAGAGACGCTCGCTGATGCCGTCGTTGATTGCACCCTCTCTGAGCACCGATCCTCCCACGAGCAAAGGGCAAAGTCAATCGATCCCACCCTTCGCCGCCCTTCGCCGCCTCGTCCTAATAACACTATAGTGCTCTGAACAGCTCGGCGAAGCTACTTCCCATCCTCTTGAGCTCCGTCGCGTGCATGCCGAGGCGCGGCCGCGAGTGCCACTCCTGCGAAATCTGAAGTTGGTCGTCGTGGTCCAGCCACGCAGGTACACTCGCAACTCTCTTGGTTTTTGTATGGCATCTGCGCAAGAAGCACGGCGCGTGGCTTGTAAATTTCCGCGCGCTGCAGCCGGTTCAAGAAGTATACAAACCCCGAGTCGATTGGCCCGTGGGTTTCAGAAATTCTACAGTACGTCTAGTGCCAGAAGCAAGGCCGCTGCGTCACGCGAGCACTTCGCGCACCGTCCCACGCAAAGAAAAGCACACAGTACTCGGCTTGCGGCCCGCAGATACAGTAACACCGCTTCGATGATGGACGACTACGTGCTCATGTCGGCGCCGTCGACCGTCGACGACCTCCGCGAAAACCTCGCGCGCCTCGAGCAGCGCTGGAAGACCATGCGCCAGCGGCCGCGCGACCGCCCTGTCTCGACATCGCCGTCGCTCCAGCCTCCGTCGCCGCTCCTGCGCGCCTACTCGGACACGCACGTCGACTCGAACGAGTACGCGACGCCGCCACCGCAGAAGGCCGCGCCCGTAACGCCCCACCGCGCGTCCGCGCCCGACGTGACGAGCCCGCCGCAGCTTTTCTCGCCGACGGCCGCGACCAAGAAGGCCAAGTACCTCGACATGTCGTCGCCGGAGCGCACCTCGTCGCGCATCCCGTCACCACTCATTCCTCGCCATAGCAACGCTGCGGGGCGCATGTCGCCCAATGTCGAGCCTCGCCGCATTGCAGCGCTGACACAGGAAAACGTCTCGCGGCTGCCACGCGCGCCGCTCCATGCCCTCGACCGCGACCAGAGCTCGATCTGCAGCTCGTCGCACTCGCGCACGTCGCGCGGCTCGAAATATTCCGTGAAAACCGATGGCGGCGCGGTCTTCTCGCGCTTGTACCAGCCCAACCACCTCCAGGACCGCGATCTCCGCATGACGCTGCACAAGGAGCGCCAGCGCAACATGAACTGCCCGTTCAAGCCGCGCACGAACGTCAAGCACACGGGCATTCCGCAGCCGTACTATCCCGCGTCGTCGAAAGAGTCGGTCGGCAGCAACGGCAGCGCGGCCAGCGCCCAGACCGACATCACACAAGGCCTCTCCGCCTCGAGCCGGCTGTACGACCCCGACTACATCAAGAAGCGCCATGCCAAGCTCGAGAAGCTCAAGCTCGAGCGCGAGCTGCGGCACTGCACGTTTGTGCCCCGCACCAACCGCATCACCAACGACCGGCTCCTCACCAAGCCATCGCCTACCACGTCGGCCGCGTCGTCGCCGCGGAAGGCGTCCGGCATCCGCAAGGCATGAGCAGCGTCTGTCTTTGGTCGTGCTCATGTATTATATATATTAACCACTGATATAGTCCTTTTAGTTTAGTTGACCACAGAAGAGTTGTCTAAAGCGAATCAGGCGCCGCGTCCAGAGGCGGCGGAAAGCTCAGGATCACCTTCTTCCCGTTCAAAGTGTCGCGGAGAAGCATGTTGGCGGCGCGGAAGACGTCGAGCTTGCCGCCCTTGACGTGGAACCCGCGTTGCTGCGCATACGCTTCGGCCAGCGTGTACGGCGACCAGTCTAGCACGCCATTTTTTCCATGACTTGAAGCATCAAAGCGTACCGTCGTCCTCGTCGACCTTCTTGAGCTTGTACGTGGCTTCGAGGGTCGGGACGCAGTTTTCAGCAATGAACCGAATTGCACTGTACGGCTCGCGCGTCTGCGCGATCGGGTAGCTTCCAAAGAGGATCTAGTCGTCGTCGTCGGTGAGCTTCGTTCCGATATAGACGAGCCGACCTGGAGGGCCATCGGGATGTTGAAGCGGGGGAAGACAACGCCCGGGCAGTCACAGAGGCAGAGCTTCGAGACGTCGTCCCGGCCGAGGCGACTCGGGTGCTCGTAAAAGTGGGTTTGAAAGTGCTTTGTGTGGCCTGGCGTCGCTGAGACCGACACAAGCTTCTTCCCAAAGAGGCCGTTCAAGAACGAACTCTTCCCGACGTTGGGCTCACCGACCTACACCGATAGTATATCGTAGTATCAACTTGGTATCAATTGTGTTTTCGTACGAGGCCGACGGTCAGCGTGCCGTTGTTGAGCTCGTCGTCACGGCCAGCCGTGCACGTCGTGTCGCGGCTCAGCGCGCCAATGGCTTCGAGGACGACGAGGTTGTCGTCCTCGGACCGGTCGCGCGAGTACGTGACGACGGGGACGCGGTACCGCTGACGCACGTACGTCACCCACGCCTCGAGGCGTCGGGGGACACAAAAGTCGGCCTTGGTGAGCACGATGAGCACGCGCTTGAGCGGGTAGTCGGCGGCGATGTGCGCCAGGAGCGCATGGCTCAGATGCAGCAGCGGGCAGCGCGCGTCGGCAAAGTGCACAAGCACGTTGGACTTTTCGATGACGCGCCAGAGCTGGCGCCACACCTGGAGGTTCCGCTCGTATGCGTTGATGGCGCCTGCCTTGTGGTTCTCGCACAGATCGAGAAGGTGCGTGAGCCACGCGCGGAACGCATCTTCTTCACGCGCCGCGAGCGCGTCCGCGCCCGTGTCTTTCGTCCAGTGCGGCCGCACCGGGATCGGTGGCTGGTTCGAGACGTCGGTGAGCCCATACGAGTAGATCGACTGCGAGTCGCCACGGTCGGGCGCGAGCTCCAGCGCCCGCGTCGCATCCTTCTTGCGCTCGTCGACCGCCCACTGCGGCTCTTTCGCGAAGATCGTGCGCAAATCACCCGAGAAGCCCACGTCCGTCGACACCTGCGCGGCTGCCGCCGCGTTGTCAAAGATCTGCGCGTCGTCGCCGTCGCCGTTGCGCAGGCGCCGCTGGATCTCGTCCTCGTCCTTCTGCGCGCGGCGCCACTCGGCCTCCTTGACCTTCTCACGCTTGGCCTGCAGCTAGAGACGCCATGAGGTCCTCTGCGGTAATGCATGCTCCGGTACCTGCTGCTTCTTCTGCTTGCCGCTAAAGGGCTTGGACCGTGTCATGACCACCGCTTCTTGCCGTTTCCGAGAAAGGACGCACACTGCACCGACACCAATCCACTTGGATTTCGTATACTATACAAAATACAAGGTTTCTAGAAAGATCGACAGCGCAGGAACAAGATGGGCTTGCCGCCAGCGCCATGACTGTACTATGCACAACTACTACTACAATTGTACTAACGTGAGGTCGACATCAATGTACATGGCTATACGAATGCATGATTGTGCAGCCCTCGAATGAGTATTAGGTCCTGTTCCACGACCAAGTGAGCGTCGCAGAATTCGCATCCGGGTCGGCCACTCGGCGCCAGCGCAGCTTCAAATCTACAAACTTCAGCGTGCAATACCCCGTAGCCCGAAGCACCGCCCACCTCTGGGTGGTGCCATGAACTCGACAGCGCAAGCCGATGTACAGTGTGCATTGCATTTGGCTGGCTTTGCCGCGTTGACCACCATTGGTCACTCCACGCGGGCGCGATGCTCCTCATCAAGCCCCGTGTGCGAAGGCACCGGATGCGGACCGACTACGGACAGCGACAGAGTAGATGATAGCGCTCTATGCAGGCGCCGTGAGCACGCAGGCTGGATCCGCGATGGCAAATTGGCGCTTTGCCTTTTGATTGGCGCTGCTTTTCCACCAATCAAAGTGGGCGGAAAGTTGGTGCATTTTCGAGTTGGAATGGGCGGCTCCGAGGTCGACGTGGACACGGGCGTCGTGCATGGGCGCGTGACGGGCATCATCTACCCGCCGCCGGACATCCGCGCCGTCGTCGACAAGACGGCTCAGTTCGTCGCCAAGAACGGCCGCGCCTTTGAGCGCAAGATCGCCGGCGAAGTCATCTCGGCCAAGTTTTCCTTCCTCAAGACAGGCGACCCGTACCATGCGTACTACGAGCACAAGGTCGAGGACTTTGAGCGCCAGCTCAACGAGCCCGAGAAGCCTGCCGAGCCCGAGAAGCCGGTCGAAGTCGCGCCGCCGGTGCCCGTGCCCGAGCCGGAAGGCGTCGCGGTCGAAGTCGTCGAGCGCAAGCCCGTCGAGGCCGTGGTTGGCAAGGCGCTGCGCAACCTCTCCGAGTCGGACAAGAAGCGACCGCCCGCCGAAGAGCAGTTTAAGCAAAAGCACCCGACGCTCACGGCGCAGGACCAGGAGATCATGTACTTGACCGCACAGTTCACGGCGGTCGGCGGCAAGGCGTTCCTCTCGGGCCTCGCGACGCGCGAGCAGCGCAACCCGCAGTTTGACTTTATCAACCCGGTGCATCCGCTCTTTGCGTACTTTACGTTCCTCGTCGAGAGCTACGCCAAGATCCTCACGGCGAAGGCGCAGCGCGGCAAGAAGGCCAATCCGCTCATCGAGCGGTTGGAAGAAGGCGTCGACCGCATGAGTGTCCTCGATCGCTGTGTGCACAAGCTCGAGTTCATGCGCATTGAGAACGAAGCCAAGCAAAAGGAAGAAGCCGAGAGCGACGCCGAGCGCCTCGCCTACATGCAGATCGACTGGCATGACTTTGTCATTGTCGAAACCATCATCTTTGACGACAGCGACCTCGTGACCGACGGGTCGAACCCGTACTACCTCGAAGACGACCCGACGACAGCGAGTACGGCGCCGTCTACCGCTGCTGCCGCCGAGCCCGACGACATGGACATGGACATGGATATGGACGACGAACAGCCATCCGAGATCAAGGTCCCAAACGCTGCCTAGTTCCTATCTCACCCTACTCGAATGGCTCAAATGATATGTGGATAGGTTGTCGACAACTATGTCCCCAAGGCCGCCGCGTCGTCTGCCGCGTCCGTCAACATGATGAGCGTCGACGGCCACGCCGTCTCGACGGCCGATGCGAACGAACACATGCGCATTTTGCTCATGGCGCCCAAGTATCGTGAAGAGACACAGCGCCATTTGAACAAGCAGAAGGAAAGTCCGTTTGCGCCGGGCGCAGCGATCGCCGACAACTTTAAGCGGTTCGCGTCCAAGCGCTCGGACATTTTCTCGTCGTCGGCCGAGGAAGAGGCCAAGCTCACGGCAGCGATGGCCTCGAACGCGCCGCCGTCCCAGGACGATACCGGCGACGCGGTAGAGCAACGCTTGATGCAACCCATCTCACACACACGTGTAGAACGAAGAGGCGGCCAGCGGGTACTTGCCGGTGCAGACAAGGTCGCAGGCACCGATTGCGTACCACATCCAGCCGCCGCGCCCAGGCGGTATGGTGCCGCCGCCGCCGACCTCGATGCCGCCGCCGCCCATGGGCATGATGCCACCGCCGCCGCCGATGGGCTTGCTGCCGCCGGGAGGCATGATGCTGCCGCCGGGAGGCATGATGCCGCCGCCGCCTCCGCCGCACCTTATGGGCATGGTG